GGTCTGGTCTGGTCTGGTCTGGTCTGGTGTGGTCTGGTCTGGTCTGGTCTGGTGTGGTCTGGTGTGGTCTGGTCTGGTCTGGTCTGGTCTGGTCTGGTCTGGCGTGGTCTGGTCTGGTCTGGTCTGGTGTGGTCTGGTCTGGTCTGGTCTGGTGTGGTCTGGTCTGGTCTGGTCTGGTCTGGTCTGGTCTGGTCTGGTCTGGCGTGGTCTGGTCTGGTCTGGTCTGGTCTGGTCTGGTCTGGTCTGGCGTGGTCTGGTCTGGTCTGGTCTGGTCTGGTCTGGCGGGTGGTCTGGTCTGGTCTGGTCTGGTCTGGTGTGGTCTGGTCTGGTCTGGTCTGGTGTGGTCTGGTGTGTTGGTCTGGTTGGTCTGGTCTGGTCTGGTCTGGTCTGGTGTGGTCTGGTCTGGTCTGGTCTGGCGTGGTCTGGTCTGGTCTGGTCTGGTCTGGTCTGGCGTGGTCTGGTCTGGTCTGGTCTGGTCTGGTCTGGTGTGGTCTGGTCTGGTCTGGTCTGGTCTGGTGGTGTCTGGTCTGGTCTGGTCTGGTCTGGTCTGGTCTGGTCTGGTCTGGTCTGGTCTGGTCTGGTCTGGCGTGGTATGTACTTTATTTGAACAGGGACAGTGTACAATTGAACATGGTACTGTATATTCATTTAAATGGATTCTAGTGTAGATAGATACATGACCATGGGACCACAGACCAGAGGAGGAGGTGGGACCACAGACCAGAGGAGGAGGTGAGACCACAGACCAGAGGAGGAGGTGGGACCACAGACCAGAGGAGGAGGTGGGACCACAGACCAGAGGAGGAGGTGGGACCACAGACCAGAGGAGGAGGTGGGACCACAGACCAGAGGAGGAGGTGAGACCACAGACCAGAGGAGGAGGTGGGACCACAGACCAGAGGAGGAGGTGGGGCCACAGACCAGAGGAGGAGGTGGGACCACAGACCAGAGGAGGAGGTGGGGCCACAGACCAGAGGAGGAGGTGGGGCCACAGACCAGAGGAGGAGGTGGGACCACAGACCAGAGGAGGAGGTGGGACCACAGACCAGAGGAGGAGGTGGGGCCACAGACCAGAGGAGGAGGTGGGACCACAGACCAGAGGAGGAGGTGGGACCACAGACCAGAGGAGGAGGTGGGACCACAGACCAGAGGAGGAGGTGGGACCACAGACCAGAGGAGGAGGTGGGGCCACAGACCAGAGGAGGAGGTGGGACCACAGACCAGAGGAGGAGGTGGGGCCACAGACCAGAGGAGGAGGTGGAACCACAGACCAGAGGAGGAGGTGGGACCACAGACCAGAGGAGGAGGTGGCACCACAGAGGAGGAGGTGGGACCACAGGAGGGGGTGGCACCACAGAAGAGGTGGGACCACAGAGGAGGAGGTGGCTGCACAGAGGAGGAGGTGGGACCACAGGAGGAGGTGGCACCACAGAGGAGGAGGTGGGGTCACAGGAGGAGGTGGGACCACAGGAGGAGGTGGCACCACAGGAGGAGGTGGCACCAGAGGAGGAGGTGGTACCACAGAAGAGGTGGGACCACAGAGGAGGAGGTGGCACCAGAGGAGGAGGTGGTACCACAGAAGAGGTGGGACCACAGAGGAGGAGGTGGCACCAGAGGAGGAGGTGGTACCACAGAAGAGGTGGGACCACAGAGGAGGAGGTGGCAGCACAGAGGAGGAAGTGGCACCACAGAGGAGGAGGTGGGACCACAGAAGAGGAGGTGGGACCAGAGGAGGAGATGGCACCACAGGAGGAGGTGGCACCACAGGAGGAGGTGGCACCACAGAGGAGGAGGTGGGACCACAGAGGAGGAGGTGGCACCACAGAAGAGGAGGTGGCACCACAGAGGAGGAGGTGGCACCACAGAAGAGGAGGTGGGACCAGAGGAGGAGATGGCACCACAGGAGGAGGTGGCACCACAGGAGGAGGTGGCACCACAGAGGAGGTGGGGCCACAGGAGGAGGTGGGACCACAGGAGGAGGTGGCACCACAGGAGGAGGTGGCACCAGAGGAGGAGGTGGCACCACAGGAGGAGGTGGCACCACAGAGGAGGTGGGACCACAGAGGAGGAGGTGGCTCCACAGGAGGAGGTGGCACCACAGGAGGAGGTGGCACCACAGAGGAGGTGGGACCACAGAGGAGGAGGTGGCACCACAGAGGAGGAGGTGGGACCACAGGAGGAGGTGGCACCACAGAGGAGGAGGTGGCACCACAGAGGAGGAGGTGGCACCACAGGGGGAGGTGGCACCACAGGAGGAGGTGGCACCAGAGGAGGAGGTGGCACCACAGGAGGAGGTGGCACCACAGAGGAGGTGGGACCACTGAGGAGGAGGTGGCTCCACAGGAGGAGGTGGCACCACAGGAGGAGGTGGCACCACAGAGGAGGTGGGACCACAGGAGGAGGTGGGACCACAGGAGGAGGTGGGACCACAGGAGGAGGTGGGACCACAGAAGAGGAGGTGGCACCACAGGAGGAGGTGGCACCACAGATTGGGCAGTGAATCAAGAGCTTTGCCTTCTTGTTTGTTTGATGTCTCTGAGTTGAATTAGTTTTAAGGCTTAGGCTTCGATCCAAGTTTCATCAGTTACTGACCTGGGACCATGTGACCTCGTGTTGGCAGCACATGAATGATCTCCTGCTAACACAAAAACATCCATGTGCCGCTAATAGCCTTTTCGCTAATATCCCATGATTACTTGTTTTCACGGAAGACATTAACTGCCAAAGACGTAACCGTTTGAACCTAAAAGTCTGCACTTGGACGCTCTCCCGGACGTGGCCACAAAGTTCCCCTGACCTCGAGGGGGTCACTGTGTTTGTAGAATAGAAAATCAAATTAGTCAGATTAGCTGGACTATGCTAATCCCCCGAGACCGGCTTGTACCCTCTTACAAGATTAGCCAGTGTTTGTGCTACGGCTAACAGCCGCTAACAGCCGCTAACAGCCGCTGGACAAGAGTCAAAAGTGGTCATTATGGACACTTCAGTCGATCGCACACAGAAGGTCAGGGGCTGAGCGGCTGAGTGGTTAGCACTATCCCTTTTCAGTAAGAAGGACATGGGTTTGAGCCCTGGTCAGAACAGTGGAGTTTGCATGTTCTCCCTGTGTAGGTTTCTTCTGCCTGCTCCAGTTTCCCCTCCCTCTAAAACATGTACAATAAGTAAATATCCCCTCAACATCGGGAGACAGTTCCATTCATGTTTTTACTAGTGCTGTCGATTCATCGTATTAGAATCAGAAGAATCAGCAGAATGTTTTTGCCATTAGCAGAACACACTACGTTGGAAAACAAACAGGAGACACCGGGGGCAGGACACAGTGAGACACACACAACATCCATCCAACTGAGCCACTGACGCCACAACACAACACAACAGCATTAATGTCACAGCTACAGTGAGACGCACAACAGCATTAATGTCACAGCTACAGTGAGACGCACAACACAACAGTTTTAATGTCACAGCTACAGTTAGACGCACAACACAACAGCATTAATGTCACAGCTACAGTGAGACGCACAACACAACAGCATTAATGTCACAGCTACAGTGAGACGCACAACACAACAGCATTAATGTCACAGCTACAGTGAGACGCACAACACACAACAGCATTAATGTCACAGCTACAGTGAGACGCACAACACACAACAGCATTAATGTCACAGCTACAGTGAGACACACAACACAACAGCTTTAATGTCACAGCTACAGTGAGACGCACAACACAACAGCATTAATGTCACAGTTACAGTGAGACGCACAACACAACAGCATTAATGCCACAGCTACAGTGAGACGCACAACACAACAGCATTAATGCCACAGCTACAGTGAGACACACAACACAACAGCATTAATGCCACAGCTTCAGTGAGACGCACAACACAACAGCATTAATGTCACAGCTACAGTGAGACGCACAACACAACAGCTTTAATGTCACAGCTACAGTGAGACGCACAACACACAACAGCATTAATGTCACAGCTACAGTGAGACGCACAACACAACAGCATTAATGTCACAGCTACAGTGAGACGCACAACACAACAGCTTTAATGTCACAGCTACAGTGAGACGCACAACACACAACAGCATTAATGTCACAGCTACAGTGAGACGCACAACACAACAGCTTTAATGTCACAGCTACAGTGAGACGCACAACACACAACAGCATTAATGTCACAGCTACAGTGAGACACACAACACACAACAGCATTAATGTCACAGCTACAGTTAGACGCACAACACACAACAGCATTAATGTCACAGCTACAGTGAGACGCACAACACACAACAGCATTAATGCCACAGCTACAGTGAGACGCACAACACACAACAGCATTAATGCCACAGCTACAGTGAGACGCACAACACACAACAGCATTAATGCCACAGCTACAGTGAGACGCACAACACACAACAGCATTAATGTCACAGCTACAGTGAGACGCACAACACAACAGCATTAATGTCACAGCTACAGTTAGACGCACAACACAACAGCATTAATGTCACAGCTACAGTTAGACGCACAACACAACAGCATTAATGCCACAGCTACAGTGAGACGCGCAACACACAACAGCATTAATGCCACAGCTACAGTGAGACGCACAACACACAACAGCATTAATGCCACAGCTACAGTGAGACGCACAACACACAACAGCATTAATGTCACAGCTACAGTGAGACGCACAACACACAACAGCATTAATGCCACAGCTACAGTGAGACGCACAACACACAACAGCATTAATGCCACAGCTACAGTGAGACGCACAACACACAACAGCATTAATGCCACAGCTACAGTGAGACGCGCAACACACAACAGCATTAATGCCACAGCTACAGTGAGACGCACAACACACAACAGCATTAATGCCACAGCTACAGTGAGACGCACAACACACAACAGCATTAATGTCACAGCTACAGTGAGACGCACAACACACAACAGCATTAATGCCACAGCTACAGTGAGACGCACAACACACAACAGCATTAATGCCACAGCTACAGTGAGACGCACAACACAACAGCATTAATGCCACAGCTACAGTGAGACGCACAACACACAACAGCATTAATGCCACAGCTACAGTGAGACGCACAACACACAACAGCATTAATGCCACAGCTACAGTGAGACGCACAACACACAACAGCATTAATTTCACAGCTACAGTTAGACGCACAACACAACAGCATTAATGCCACAGCTACAGTGAGACGCACAACACACAACAGCATTAATGTCACAGCTACAGCTAGACGCACAACACAACAGCATTAATGCCACAGCTACAGTGAGACGCACAACACACAACAGCATTAATGCCACAGCTACAGTGAGACGCACAACACACAACAGCATTAATGCCACAGCTACAGTGAGACGCACAACAGCATTAATGTCACAGCTACAGCTAGACGCACAACACAACAGCATTAATGCCACAGCTACAGTGAGACGCACAACACACAACAGCATTAATGCCACAGCTACAGTGAGACGCACAACACACAACAGCATTAATGCCACAGCTACAGTGAGACGCACAACACACAACAGCATTAATGCCACAGCTACAGTGAGCCGCACAACACACAACAGCATTAATGCCACAGCTACAGTGAGACGCACAACACACAACAGCATTAATGCCACAGCTACAGTGAGACGCACAACACACAACAGCATTAATGTCACAGCTACAGTGAGACGCACAACACAACAGCATTAATGTCACAGCTACAGTGAGACGCGCAACACACAACAGCATTAATGCCACAGCTACAGTGAGACGCACAACACACAACAGCATTAATGTCACAGCTACAGTGAGACGCGCAACACACAACAGCATTAATGTCACAGCTACAGTGAGACGCACAACACACAACAGCATTAATTTCACAGCTACAGTTAGACGCACAACACAACAGCATTAATGCCACAGCTACAGTGAGACGCACAACACACAACAGCATTAATGTCACAGCTACAGCTAGACGCACAACACAACAGCATTAATGCCACAGCTACAGTTAGACGCACAACACAACAGCATTAATGCCACAGCTACAGTGAGACGCACAACACACAACAGCATTAATGCCACAGCTACAGTGAGACGCACAACACACAACAGCATTAATTTCACAGCTACAGTTAGACGCACAACACAACAGCATTAATGCCACAGCTACAGTGAGACGCACAACACACAACAGCATTAATGCCAAAGCTACAGTGAGACGCACAACACACAACAGCATTAATTTCACAGCTACAGTTAGACGCACAACACAACAGCATTAATGCCACAGCTACAGTGAGACGCACAACACACAACAGCATTAATGTCACAGCTACAGTGAGACGCACAACACACAACAGCATTAATTTCACAGCTACAGTTAGACGCACAACACAACAGCATTAATGCCACAGCTACAGTGAGACGCACAACACACAACAGCATTAATGTCACAGCTACAGCTAGACGCACAACACAACAGCATTAATGCCACAGCTACAGTGAGACACACAACACACAACAGCATTAATGTCACAGCTACAGCTAGACGCACAACACAACAGCATTAATGCCACAGCTACAGTGAGACGCACAACACACAACAGCATTAATGCCACAGCTACAGTGAGACGCACAACACACAACAGCATTAATGCCACAGCTACAGTGAGACGCACAACACACAACAGCATTAATGTCACAGCTACAGCTAGACGCACAACACAACAGCATTAATGCCACAGCTACAGTGAGACGCACAACACACAACAGCATTAATGCCACAGCTACAGTGAGACGCACAACACACAACAGCATTAATGCCACAGCTACAGTGAGACGCACAACACACAACAGCATTAATGCCACAGCTACAGTGAGACGCACAACACACAACAGCATTAATTTCACAGCTACAGTTAGACGCACAACACAACAGCATTAATGCCACAGCTACAGTGAGACGCACAACACACAACAGCATTAATGTCACAGCTACAGTGAGACGCACAACACACAACAGCATTAATTTCACAGCTACAGTTAGACGCACAACACAACAGCATTAATGCCACAGCTACAGTGAGACGCACAACACACAACAGCATTAATGTCACAGCTACAGCTAGACGCACAACACAACAGCATTAATGCCACAGCTACAGTGAGACACACAACACACAACAGCATTAATGTCACAGCTACAGCTAGACGCACAACACAACAGCATTAATGCCACAGCTACAGTGAGACGCACAACACACAACAGCATTAATGCCACAGCTACAGTGAGACGCACAACACACAACAGCATTAATGCCACAGCTACAGTGAGACGCACAACACACAACAGCATTAATGTCACAGCTACAGCTAGACGCACAACACAACAGCATTAATGCCACAGCTACAGTGAGACGCACAACACACAACAGCATTAATG